CGTATCACTACAGTCCACAATAAAGATTCAGTCTTATATGAGCCGATTGGAATATGCAAAATTACTCAACATACCTTGATTAGGGGAGGTAAACTGCTGTCCTGTTTTGCGCCCATGTGCATTTCACGATTTCCAAAACCTCGTACTTGCCTTTGTGTCTTTGTATAATATGCACTATTATTATGTGTAACCTCTGAGGTTACACACGTGACTTAGGACATAGATATATAAGGGTGGCCCCCTTCTTGTCTAGCCTGGCGCTTTCTCGAAATGCGGCGACTTACTCGAATTTTATTGAGCCATTCCCATGACTGGCATTGGCATGCCGCTGAATTATTCTTGTCCTGTGTCAAACTGGTTTGTGGACTAATATTCAAAGCGCTCGCGCTCATCATCATTACTGTAAACGGCGGTCTTTTTGCTAAGGTACCGTTGTTTGAGAACGCGATAGCTTATTCCCGGCGTATGCCGTGATTAGACTAAATATGATTTATTGTGGTGTCTGATGCATGTTCGCAACTCGGCCCATCGCATATCCAGTGGCAATAATCCACGGAGTCTTGTGCGCTTACCAGCCCTGGCTGACGCGTAACCTCAATGCGCGCCGTCTTTCCCGATCTACATCGACCGGATTTGCTACAAATAGCTGGTATTCGAGGCGTTTTGCATCGCACCCAGTGATATTTGGTCCGCTGTGCTCCCGCAAGAATGCGCTTTGTTGTGCTACTGTCTGCAGCCTGGGCTGCCTTCGGCCTGGAATCTGTCCTACGGGCAGATTCTCCTCAGGTTGTCGACCTTGGATATGCGATTTACCAAGGGACATTCAATTCTACCTCTAACATAACGGATTTCTTTGCTGTTCGTTATGCAGCACCTCCTGTTGGTCAGTCAACTCAAACCCCATCATCGCGGGATTAAAGCCTGACTGATGATGTCTCTTTCTTCCTTGAAGGGAAACTTCGGTTCCAGGCACCAGCACCACCGCTCAACATGCGGGCACAAGGCGTGCAGCTTGCGAACACACAGCCTCAGGCATGTCCAATGGCTGGTCCGGGTCTCAATAGTACTACCCCGTTCCGAGACCTGTCAAACAACAAAGATCGCAGACAGAACACGGAGATCGAGGATTGTTTATTCTTGAAGTAGGTAGGATACTTTAAATCTAACTCTTGCCTCATGTCGACATATCTGGTGCTTATACAGTGTTCATGTCTCCGGCGAAATTAATCCAAAAGCACGCATGCCAGTCGTAGTCTGGATCCATGGCGGTGGGTAAGTATGGCGATAACAATCACTCCCGTTCTTCCATGACTTCATCGTTTACTCGCTAGCTATGTTGCGGGTAGCACATCCGGGCAGAATGGGAGTGATCTTATTAGGGAAGCAAGTGGAGGTATTGTTGCCGTTGAATTACAATACCGCCTGGGAGTATTCGGTGAGATTCAGTCCACTTTGTGTCATCCATTCTACTTTCTCAAACCAGGTAATTTTAGGGTTCCTCCCTGGTTCTGAAGTGAAAAAGAATGGTGCATTGAACGCTGGCCTGTGTAAGCGAAAAATCATAATGAATATTGACCAGGTCTAACAGATTGACAGTCGACCAGCAATTTGCGCTTCAATGGATACAAAAGAGTGTATGGGGGTTTCATGGTCTAATCTTAATGAATTATACCTGACAGGTTGTCCTATCAGATCCACCTATTTGGTGGTGACGCAAGTCGCGTAACAATTTGGGGAGATTCCGCAGGTACGTAAAGGGTTCCACTTTCCTTGAGAACGGCCTCTCAAGCCAAGGATGCTCGAATTCCAAAGGTGCTGGATCTGTACTTCAGCACATTGTTGCACACGGTGGAAATACACAGCCGCCTTTGTTCCATCAAGCGATCACGAGTTCGACGTTCTTGCCTTCGCAGTACAACTTTGATGATGCAATTCCGGAAGTATGTGCCATGCGTATGAAAGATATTATTTACTAAATCCAACATGCTATAGAAACTTTATTCTGAGTTCGTCCAAATGGCAGGGTGAATGCGTTCTACCATACCATACTGTTATTTCAGTGTCAGTCTGACCTGTCTATTAGATGCAGCAATGCTTCGGATACATTTCAGTGCCTCGTTGACGCTGATGCTGGAACACTCGAGAGCGCCAATGCTGTTATCAATGAATCCGGCTTTTACGGAACATTCGTAGTGGTCCCAGTCGTCGGTGGGGACATGATCGTTGAGCGGCCTATCCAGACCATCAACCGTGGTAGGCTCAATGGGGTGCGTTATCCACTGTCAGCCAGTAATGATATAATTACTTGTAAATGAAACACTTTAGAACGCATTCCTTGCAGTTACGAATGCCTTCGAAGGCACTGTATTCGTTAATGCGAACTTTTCCGCACAAATGACGGCCACGGATTACGTTACGCAGCTCTTCCCTCTGTTCAATCAAGCGCAGATTGAGGAAACAGTGCAGCAGTATACGAATATCGGACTGAACACCGTCAACGATCAAGCAATTGCGATTATGGGAGAATGTAAGCTCGGTGTTTGATG